TCCAGAACGCTCGTTTTGCATCAGTTTTCGAACAGACAGTAAAGTATGAGGTCTTATACGGTATTACTGTTACTCGGGTTGGCAATGGTCGCCTTGGTAGGCGCGAAGAAAGGACGAAAATGCCGTGACGCCGTTGAAACATCACATGATGACGCAGCAGTGGGTGCTGAAGACGAAATAATGGGTGGCGACGACGCAACAATGGGCAGTGATGACGCAACTATGGGTGGCAATGATGCAACAATGGGCAGTGATGACGCAACAATCGGTGGCGACGACGCAACAATGAGCGATGATGACGCAACAGTGGGCGATGATGACGCAACAATGGGCAGTGATGACGCGACAATGGGTGGTGACGATGCCTCAGACAATGATGACACAATGGGTGATGCTGGCGTATCAGTTCCAGAACCTCCCCCGAAAAAACCCAAATTTTTCACTGAGGCGTGGAAGGCCGCTTACTCTGCTAAACAACTAGTCAATCAACCAAAATGGAGACTGGCGGAAAAACAACCGGAAGATGGAACGTACCAGGTCAGAGTATACCCAACGCAATGGTGGGCAAAATCGTTCAAACAATGCCTAGGTCAAAAGAAGGCTGCAGGCGATGGGTATTTGAACCTTTACTTTTTCTTCAACGGCTTCAACTACCAGCGCCAATATCACTCACTGACTTATCCGATCCTAGACACGGTAGACAAAAGGCCAAAGCCTACGATGAAACCAAAAACAACAATCAAACCAAAAACAACAATCAAACCAAAAACGACCATCAAACCAAAGCTAAACAAAAAGCGGCGAAGAAATCGACGAAGAAAACCAAAGAAGCCAGTGAAAGTTTGCCCTATCAGATATCATACACAGTTTTATTTACCAATACCGCTGACAAAGTATGCGCCCAAAACCCAGGACAAGACGATCACATCATTCAAAGCTCCCGAAAGAATGTTTTACGTGCGTTTTTATTCTGGCAATTTTACATCCGCATATTGCAACGAACAAGCCGGCGTCCTTTTCTTAGATTTGCTGAAAAACAACGTCTGGACCTGGGAAAACTATTGGATCTGTGCAAAATACGAACCGCCAGAAGGCACTACAGAGCAAAAATACGAAGTCTGGATGAAAGAAAGACTGCAATAATGAACTCTGAATTGAACTATTATACTAACAAAACAATAAAATATGTTACTCCAAATATAAGTTTATTTCGACTCCATAATAAGCATAACAGGTGATAGAATAACAGATAGAGAAGACAAATAGAAAAAATGTTTACAAAATCAGGAGAGCAATTGGGTTTGAAAAATACATTTTTAAAATATGTCTCGACTACTAGATTTTGTGAGACGAACTGATTTGAGGGCTAATACCTGTAGGTAAATACGATTTAATGATTTGTTCTGGGTTGGGTTGAATTTATAATTTTGGCTGATTGTCTTGTCACCCCCTAAATGTCAGGTGTGACACCATACGTTAATGCTTAACCTAAATAAAATTGTATTTGAATATCCAGAGAGTGACTCATAAGCCGGTGAAGATGATCAGTCAAATACATAACACATTCATATAAGTTACAAATAGTCTTATCACTTATAACAAAATATCTACCACCCCCTAAATTCAGAAACAATCCCCCCCCCCCCCCCCCCCCCCCTTAAATGAAAATCTGGGGAACATATTGGCGTTGACTGGAACGTTTCAATTCTATGTCAATTGACATTTCCTTGTAGGTAATGTCGCATCATATTCGGGTCGCCAGCAACTCAAAGATGGGCGCTTTAGAATTGTGTGTACCAATATGGAGGTAACTAATTTCTATCGCCTATTTTACACCAAGTTCTGTAAAGGCACTTAAACCTATGGGCAGGGGGTATATTCACTTGGCTAACACAGACAGTCCCCGAACTCGTAATGTAAATAAAACAAGGAAAATTTGTATAAAGTTATGGCTTAACCCTAACCTGGTATACACACTACGAGAGTACTCAAAAATGGGAGCAGTGATATTGTTTTATAATCAAACCATCTCTTGTAGCTTTCTAAAATCATTGTTGCTCAGTCCCGCGCGTCCTGTGTATAAATAAAACTGTAACCTAAAAATGTGAGCAATTTATTGTCATTGCCAGCATAATACGGAACACTAATCTTGTGAAACAGCATTCATCATAAAAACCACGGTTAAACCAATCCCAGATTAAGTCAAATTGAGCTTACATGGATTTGTGTGTGGCCACATAATGATGGGCGGGCCAGAAACGTCATAAAGATCATTAGAGCAGAATTGGGTTCTCCTGAAGTATGCGCACCGAAATGTCGCTCAACTTGAACTCTAATCTGGTAAACAACCTGAGTTCAGGTTGTGCGCCATCTTGGTGCGCACACTTCAGGAGGTCTAATTGTTTTCAATGTGACACCATAACATAAAAGGTGAGCGTAAAAATAGCAATTATTGGGCTCTATCTATCTCTTATGGCAATCCCATTATATTCCGTTCCCTACCTTCTTCCGAAATCAACGAGAAAGAATGACTACATCGGATATGACGCAATGCAATTTAAATATTCAAAATGAAAACGTTATTACGATATGGTTTTGCATACTTTCCTATTCCATGGGGGCCAAAATTCCGCCTTGATCTCACCTAGATATTACCGAGAATATCGGTCAGAGACCGAAGACTTATCGATCGAAAGTTAGGGGATCCCCCAAAACAGCGCTCTTACTCCATAGTGACACCTTGTGCCCCATCACTAATTAATTAATTATACGATATAATTCGCCCAAAATCAATAGGCTTCTGGTTCGAGATATGATGAATGCACATGTAAAATTTGGAGCAGATTCAATCTCGCTTTCGTGAGATATCGCGTGCATCTAACAGACATACAAATACCTATCAACATACTTACCGATTAAAATCTATAAGTAATAATACAGTTTGCTTTACATAATATATTTTGCTCGCACAAAGAGACAACAGTAAAAACGATTTAATGTTAAATTTGAAAGGCAGAAAGGGTACGAGGTGTTCATAAAGTTCCTTTACAATTTCAATTTTGTTATGGCGTCAGTTTTCAATATATGCTATCTATGTTTACATGTTGAATTTGAAAGGCAGAAATGTACGTGTCCATAAAGTCCCTTATCAATTTCAATTTTGTTATGAAGTCAGTTCTCAATATACCCTAACCAGGTTTGTTGTTTTTATTCAGTAATTGATCAAATATTTTCACTTCATCTAATGCATCTGTGAGGGCCAAAACAATATATATATGGTATCGATAAATTCCCTTTGCAATTTAAAAAAAAATTAGGACTTTATGGACACCCTGTATATATATATTTAGTATTCCCAAAAGGACGAAACTTGGCTTAGTTTTGAAAAAATGAGGAAAACGTATAATTTTTTTTGTTAAATTTCAATCTTTCATTGAAATACTTTGATGAATTTTGCTTCAAGTTCAAACTATGATCGAATATCAGCTTAAAACGAAAAACATTTTTGGCGCTCCTGAAGTGTGTGCACCAATATGGAGGTAACTACCGTAATTTTGTTTGCCTACATTACATCAAGTTGTGTAAAAGGACTAAAACCTATAGGCAGGGGGTATATTCACTTGGCTAACGATTTTCATCGAAATTTTAACATTCGCCATTTCGTCTTGGAAGCCTTGATTTATAATGACAACAGAAATAGAGAATAGTAGAACTTGGAAATAGTTAATAGGAAGTCTCGTTACGTAGACTAAAACGGGATGTTTACTTAAAATGTACGTAATTGTATAATAATTTTTGGATTTGGACACTTTTAAAACAAAAAGAAATATGAAGATTGAAACTAAAAAACCTTCATAATTACCAGCATAAAAGTGTAATGTTTTTAACTATGTGAAAATTAAAGGTCGAATAATGTAAAAATTACCGTGATGAATGTCTTGCAAGAAATTTTCGCGAGAAAAAGGGGAAAATTAGCGAAAATAAGTGGGATAAGCCTAATACACCAAACTATTCTAAGCCGTTGAAACAAGACAAGGTGAACTTCCAAATATGTAAAAAAAAATGTCTTGTTGCATAAAGTGAAACCTGGCGATTACTTAAAACGGACATCATTGAACGAACAGATATAAAATAATTGGACTTGAATATTTGGAAATTCAAATAATAGGAAAAATGGAATGCCAATAGCAAACCTTTTGAAATTACCGGCCTAAAATGCGATTTGTTTTATTATGTTAAAATTACATATTCAATGTTGTAGAAATTACATTTATAATTGTCTTAGAAAACCCTTGGTTGTACGATACTAATATTATATAGATTTAAAACACAAAGAGAATTACCACTTTAAAATTATCAGCTTGAAATGTGAAAATTACAGGATCATGTTGTACAAATTGTCGTGATTAAGGTCTTGCAAGCGATTTTCATAAGAAGAGAATGGAAATTAGCGAAAATAAGTGGGGTAAGCCATAAACACCAGAATGTTCTTAGCAGTTGGAAATGGCTAAGGTAAAAACTGGTGCATACGAATATAATATTATACACAAGAGGAAATGAGCACAAAAAATATTCAAATTCTTCTTTCAAAATAAAATAATATTTCTTGAAGTTATTACGGAGCAGAAGTGGCGGTGGGGTCAAAGCCGCGTTCGGCAGCCATTTGTTTTAGGTTTTGCCATTTTTTGTCCAATTCGGCTAATTCGGCTGTAAAATAGAAAGAGGTAAATAAAATGGGGACCAAAGCTAGAGAGCCGACGAAATTAATGGAAATATAATCATATAGATGTAACAATCGACGCTGTAGGGTGGCTCACGTAATTGATGGTCGGTTACGGCTTCATCCACCATCAATTCCATTCATCAGAAACTAATAACTGGCTAACTAATTTCATACGGTACCCGACATGGACTGGTAACCGGACGAGGGGCCGTGGTTCGCCATATTATTAAATAGACTTCCCCCTCCGGGATAAATATGGAAACCTATCCTGATTGAATCCTGGTATCCATTACGTCATTTCGACTTCAGAGTGACGTGATAGGGCCCTCCAAAATATACGTATGGTCGTCCAAAACGCGCAGACGATCACCCGAAATCGAGCAAGCTAATTCTCTCGTTTTCTCTTCGCAACGATCTTGATAGGAGATCTTTGGCGTTAGTGAGCTCGTTATCGTCGGCGCAGATGCCATTTCGGGCGATCGTGACTATACATTGGCCAGCTCTATGACGTGATTGTGACGTCGTAGTGACGTAATTTTTGGATGGCATAGTCCGGTGGGGGTCAGGAATAACATATGCAAAAATCATTATTCCACGCCCATTGGAAGTACTTGTGGTCCTAAATTATACCAGGCCAACTACACTCACCCTCCAAAGCTTGGATCCGGGATTCGCAGGCCACCGACTGAAAAATAAAATTGAAATTAGTTAAAACTATATTTCTGTTTGTTTTCAGCAGTGAGTAACACAGATTTAAATCCAGTGGAAATAATTACACGGGGGAGACAAGAGAGCGATGCTAAAATATAAGGACACGAAAGTTATTTGTTTTTATCAACCGTTTTATCGCCGTTTATGCTGATTATGGAGTCGAAATAAAGTTATCTTATCTAGTACGGGTATATAATATGTCACAGTAAATTACTAGTACCACCTGTCACGATGTCATAAAAACATGGAAGACAGTTACGATGTCATAAATACGTGTTCCTGTGTTATATAAAACAAGAGAGAAATGCACAGATATATGGACACGGGAAGACGGAATAACAATTAGGAGTAAGCACTGGTATTTAGAATTATTCCATGACCGGAGTTTTTTGACGCGCATGACGTCTATTAGCAGACTTGACGCAAAAAACGCACCGTTCTCATTGTTTCACGTCACTCGATTCTTAGTACACATCAGGACATAGCGCATTTCCAAAGTATTGGCTTCATTATAAAGGGTGTCCGTAAGGTACCTTTACAGTTTACAATTTTGTTATGAATTCAGTTCTCAATATATATATTAGCCAGGTTTGTTGTTTATTAATTAGTATTTTTACTTCATTTAATACATCTGTGAGAGCCCAAACGTATATATAGTATCGATAAACTCCCTTTGCAAATTTGAAATATTTTAAGACTTCATGGACACCCTATAAAATTCGGGAAGACAAAATAACAATTATGATACAGGGTGAAGCATCGATGTTTAGAACGTTTACACGACCGAACTTTTTTGACGCGGACGTCGATTAACAGAATTGACGCAAAAAAAACATCAATGCATCTTCAGTAAATTATTTTTCCGCCATACTAAAGTAAACTTTATAAATAAACAATACCTTAAATATGAGAAATGGTACTTCAAGGAGGCGCGAGACACCATTACTATGGTTATCGAGCAGCGACACCCGTGATTTAATTCTAACGTAATTATTGAAAGAATTGTTTAGGGTGGCGGCTATGGCTACCTTGGCCGACGGTGCTCGGAGTCATATTTTTTGTATGTAATGATTTATTACTTATCGATCTTAAGATCGGTAAGTATGTTGATAGGGATTTGTCTGTTTGTTTGTTTGCTTGTCTGTTAGATGCACGCGATATCTCACAAAAACGAGGATGAATCTACTCCAAATTTTGCATATGCATTCATCATTACTCGGATCAGAAGCCTATTGATTTTGGATGAATTATGTCGTATAATTAGCGAGTTATTAATTAATTAGTGATGGGACACAAGGTGTCACTATGGAGTAAGAGCGCTGTTTTGGGGGATCCCCTAACTTTCGATCGATAAGTCTTCGGTCTACCAGGTTGGGGTTAGGCCATAATTTCAGGTACAAATACTACGGGACAAACTTGGCTAGTCCCCGAATTCGTAATAGAACTAAAATAAAGAAAATCGGAATAAAATTAGGGCCCAACTCTAACCTGGTACACATACTATATTCCGGTGTCCGCCATCTTGGTTCACATACATCGGGAGTACCCTCAATTCTTAGTATAAACCAGGATATAGCGCATTTCCAAAGTATCGACCTCGTCATAATATTTTTTGTATCCATACTGCGCGATACTCATCGCACGACCTTCGCAGTTGCTTCCTCGTTTTAGATAACGGAGCAGATACTGTTTAAAAATAGGTAAATTTTTGTGGCATTTCAGTGATTTTAAATATTCTGAATCGGGTCTTATTTTGAGAGTAAATTCGCAAATCAAATTCTACAATTTTTAGAGCAACACTGAATACCCGATATGTAAATTTCATACCTTGAAGTAAGTATTTAAATTACAGAGGAGTTCAACCTTCAATACACAAGGGCCAGATACAAATTACCGGATAACCCCGCACCGTTATTTAACATAGGCTTTCTAGTAGTTGTGGACACGAAAAATTCCGGTTATCGATCTTGTGACATGTGTTGTTAGCTTCGCACAAGCTCAGATATAGGCTTTGCAACGCAAAAAATTGAGATTACTCGCACATACTAGATTAAATTAAAAACTCGCTTCACTGGCGCACACCATTCCAAAGTTTCGCTTCACCGCTTTTCTTGTGGGCCGCATTTGGCCCGGACCGCCGGTTGCACACCCTGATTTGAAATAATAATAACTCGAAATATATAAATCGAGAATGCAGCAACATCAATTTCAACTCGTGATGGGCTTTGAACGGTGACCGTACATTTGAACCCATGTACATTTGAACCCATGCGTCTATCCACGGATCCACGGGTTCAATCTATATGCGGGTGCTAAAACCCATGGGTTAGGGTTAGTATGGGTTTAACTATCCGTGAAACAAAAAAAATTCCATAGGTGCAATAGCATACAGGTGCAATTGTCATGGGTTCAAATGTACGTGGGTTCAAATGTAATCGAAACGCTTTGCACTATCTTTTAGAAATTTCTTTCACGCGGAAACGACTTACCGGGTCAAAGCACGCGTGACATAATTCTACAGTATAATGGCTGATATGTGTTATGACTCCGATGTGCGTCAACTATTTCTAGGAAAAACCGAAAATTGTGCATGTTAAATTTTCCACTGGAATTTTAATAAGGAAACTCTTTTTGTAAGAGGAAATAGAATCTTTGATCTAATCTAAAATAGGTGTATGGAAATGCATACGCCATAAACAGGTACATCAAGTTTAAAAAAATGCAAAATAAACAAATTGTGGTGCCATAATGCGGTTTTAATGTAATGCGAGAAGAATTAGATTAAATTTTATTATCATGGAGCCAGAAGTGTGTGTACCAGGTTAGGGTCAAGCCATAATTTTATTCCGATTTTACTTATTATTGCTCTATTACGAGTTCGGGTCTGTCTGTGTTAGCCAAGTGAATATAGCATAGGTTTCAGTTTCATATTGGTACACATACCTCTGGAGCGCCAAATTTTCACCATCATAAGCATCTATTCAACATTGGAACATAAAACATAATGAACTATCGCTTGATGGCTTACTCAAATACGTTGAGTTTGGGAATAAATTTGGCAATCGTTTTAATCAAGCAATGAAACGCTGAAGATCTTACGAAACACTATACAGTTTATGACATAATGCAGGTCTCTGCAAACTAGGGCTACCGACCATATCACGGAGATCACACAATCGCTGATATCACATACCGAAAGAGCACCCCCATAATTTACAAAATTTAGGTTTTTCTACAATCCGTAAACGATCTGAAAAGTTAAATAAACAATTGACGTCTGAATAGTGACGTCATAGAACCCACAATGGAACAAAGAGTCAAAAACCGCGCCAGTTTTGCTACTCAGACACCTTCAAACAGTATATCATGACATCATTGTTATATTGTTACGTTAATTGTTTGTGAATTTCCACGGAAACGTCCCATCCTCATCGTGAAATATGCCAGAAATGGGGAAAATTATTATTAAAAAAATATTTATATACTGGCAAAAAAATTATGAATATGCTGTATTCCTCATCGCTTTGTTTACCTACCGGAAGGGCAGCGTCAGACATGTTTCGCCATATTGGACGAGCCAATCCATCGTTGCCCGTGCAAATCATTGAAAGAGCGCAATCTTTGCCTGAAAGTGAAAGAATATGTTGAAAAATATTGGTTTATTTTGGGCTTTCTCAAACCGGGCTCCTATAGTCTTCTAGGGAGCATTAAAGTAATTTTCTGGGGTGGTTCGGATACGAATTTTGGAATTCGACACTGATTTAAAGAGATCGGGAAATATTTTGCGCACCAAAAATTATCTCAAAAATATATGTATTTCTTTCAATCTAATTTTAGATTACAAATATTTCTTTTACTTCTTATCAGTTGTGCTTATACAGGGTGTTGTTTGGAGTGAGACATCATATAAAATTACTTATTTTATCAAAATATCTAAAATGATACAGCCCTGTATCCACATGACTAGATAATTAACGTTGAAACGACCACATATTTGACTCCTATATATGCTTTGGAAAATATCCAAGATTGGATTCAAAATACCTTGAATCTCAGGGGCCAAATGCGACCCACATGGAAAACTTGTGCGGCCCGCGGGGGAACACCACTTTTGAATGATGCACGGCCCGCGAAAGGAGTTTTTAATTTAATCTAGTATGTGCTATCTATTCCCTTGCATTGCAATGCCTATTTTTGTGCTGCAACTACTAGAAAGCCTATGCTAAGTAAAGGTGCGGCCTGTTGCGGCGGTTTCATTCAGTCATTTGTATCCTGCCCTTGTGTGTTATAGGTTGCATACCCCTGCCTTATCTCATTCAAATGATGACATTATCAAATATGTTTTAAAATTTTGTTCAAAATAAACCATTTATACGTCACTGCCTTCCTACAATATCAAATATGATGCCACAATTACACAAATAATGGACCGAATACTAATACAATTTTGGAAACATTGTTTAGAGCTATAATAAAAGTTTCTTTACTTTGCAAGTTAAGATATAATTCCGTTTTTTTTTTAATAACTCATCCTTTATCAGTGGCTGTTTGTGAATTACGTCTGTACGAAATGAAGCCTCATAAAATATTCACTCACCTTTCCCAAACCCAATATAGAAGCAAATCATAGTGAGTGCAATCACAAGTCTCACTCCCATGTTGAGATTTCGTTGACAAAGTCGGAAATCTGATTTATATATATTAGGTTTAATTCTTTAAGGCTACATATGTTGGACAAATTAAAATTGATTATTTAATTACGTATTTTCATATGATTAATAAGTACTCCCGAAGTATGTGAACCAAGATGGCGGACACCGGAAGGTAGTATGTGTACCAGGTAAGGGTTAGGCCATAATTCCAGGTACAAATACTACGGGAGTCACTTGGCTAGTCCCGAACTCGTAATAAAACTAAAATAAAGAGAATTGGAATAAAATTAAGGCCTAACCCTAACCTGGTACACATATTAAGTTCCGGTGTCCACCATCTTAGTTCACATACTTTGGGAATGCTTATTAAGCATATACAGACCTTAACATTTTTGGATATTCATGTTGTGTATGTACCAGATTAGAGTTAGGCCATAATTTTATTCTGTCTGTGCTAGCCAATTAAATATACCCCCTGTCCATAGGCTTCAGTCCCTTTACACAACTTGATGTAACGTAGGCGAACAAAATTAGTTACCTCAATATTGGTACACATACTTCTAGAGCGCCCTTTTTGAGATGGCACAATAACTTAACTATTATCCCAAATAATAGCAACTATCTAATATGGTTATATGTTAGTGACCGCCTATATGGGCTTATTCGTGGCGAAAACCGTAAATGAGCGTCGCACAACCAAAAATTCAGCCCTTTAATACAGGGGTTCCCAAACTTAATTGACCGCGGGCCAAAATTTGAAGCGGAGGGAGGTTCGCGGGCCGGAAGAGTGTAGCGCCCGAAAGTGCGTGTCATGTCTAAACTTTTTGGCTTTGGTCCGCGGGCCGCGGTTTGGGAACCCCTGCTTTAATACGTTTATCATCGTTTAAAAGTGGCAACGCACTGCACACTCTTAAACGGAAGCTCTCGTAGCACATCCAACGCTGTGGCAGTCTCGCAACTAACTAAACTCAAAAGCGTTAACCAAGGCAACGCAAATCACGTTTTAGACCGCTCGATGAAAAAATATATGCTTTTGAAAAAACAATAGAAATAACTTTGAAATCTAGGTAAATAGGAAGTCCTCGTAACACAGCTAACGATGAGGCAGCCTCGCAACTAACTTAATTCAAAAACGTTAACCGCGGCAACGCAAATTACATTTTTGAGCGCTCAATGAAAAAATATATGCTTTCGAAAATACGGTGCTTCCGTAGTATGTGTACCAAGATGGCGCACAACCTGAACATAGCATGTGCACCAGGTTAGGGTTTAGGTTGTGTGTCATCTTGGTGCACATACTTCGAGCGCCGAAAATACAATGAAAATAACTTTAAAATTTAGGTGCATGGAAACACTGGGTTCCTAAATTGTGATGTATGACCCCTTTCATACCTCATACGGAAACCGTGGTTTAATCAATATTTTACCTTTCTGCCGTACATAGAATATCGTTTATGAATAAATAATGCCAAAAAAAAGTAAATAGGGCTTTCCGGGATGAATGCAAGCGCGGGAAACCAATACTGGTTAACGAGAATAGACACTAATAAGTCTAACAGAAATTGATAATAGCATGATAAATCGAACAATAACAATTTTCTGTTGTTAGCCAATTCTATCTCTTGGAGAGGCTAGCCTAATTCCCAAAAATTCTCTGTATACTTGAACGTTTCCAATATATATACAAATTTATTAGTGTGAATATTTTGTTTCTATATTCATATTCAATTTTAAGTATTCTATTTTTATCTTATTTTTTTCATGCTGTGTTAGACCCCATCTAGAGTGTCGCTGCTCGATAACCAGTACTGGTTTTTCGGCGTTTCCCTTCCACCCTGAAATGCTATTCTTCTTTTATTCTACTCCGTATATGAACCTTACGTAGGCTTACCATGCGTCCCACTTTAGGCGGGACAGTCCCGCTTTTCAGCGTTTTGTCCCGCCGTCCCGATAAGTCAGCCAAAGGTCCCGCTTTTCCAGCATGATACACAAACATGTTCTCGTTACTGTTGTTTCTGTGTAGCGCAGCGCTAGCCTACTTACTGAAGGCGAATGCGTTCGTTTCCCTCTGATTCCCATTCATGACAGACGTACGGTATCGCATGTAAAACCAATACTAATTAGTCTAAATTCGAATTATTTGTACCGGTATCGTTAACGTCAATTCCTTCCTATTTTTCGAACTGAACCCGATATTTGGACAGAGAATATGCGCATGAAATTTCGATAACACTATGGTATATAAAGACGGCCGAATCAGTTTTAAATGTGGGAATGTAGGCCTATGTAGTAAAATCGGAAAATGCGAAGTTACAAAATCACAGCTAATGGGTCGTTGTCTTTCGAGTCGTCCCGATTAGAAGTCACAAAAATATGGTAACCCTAACCTTACGTACATTCAACATTGGTGGAAAAATAAAGGACTGATTAATTAGAAAGGACGAAGCATATTTTTTTTTATATATTGACGTTTATATATACTTTAGGGTGACCGTGAAAGATACCGTGTTTCGTCTAAAGTTCGCCGAAGTCCTATCTTACAATTACGAGTTGATTTATTTTGATTTTTGTTTTATTTTAATATTTCCGATAATCATAATCATGCCTATTTGGCAGCCTGATAGAACAGAGCAGGACCATATATCCATTCCTATTCCTAATCTGCTGTATAAACGACAGCCCAATAACCCTGTAAAGGAGGCTTTTTCAAATGGCGATTGGGGTTATATATCTATCTCTATTCTTAACCTACTCTCTACATGGTCTACTGCCTAATATGTTTCTGCAGAAGAGGCCATTCGAATAATAATTGGGACCCTGTATCCAGTAGTGGGATTCAGCCGGTTCGCACCGGTTCTATAGAACCGTCTCACGGAATTTTATGAGATCAGCGAACCGGTTAGGATTACTGGTTACTCTCGATGACTTTTTTGTAACAGAACCTGGTGAAAAATATGACTTTTGTGATGGAACCGGCTGACAAGAAAATTGAATTCCACCACTGCCTGTATCCCATCTCTACTTCCAATACTTCAGATATATACCGGTCATTGTGATATTAATTGGCCAAACTAAGCTTTAAACCAGGTAATCATCGACAACATGTAACTTTTCATAGGTCTTCTAACTAGGGTATCTGAACTTCCTTCTTCTCATTGGCATCTGTGAAAAATAAAAAGTGGCATCGATAAATTTGAGCACACGCAAATAAAATTATACAAATGGTCAAAAGTTACAAAAGAACAGCAGAATTTTCCGGTAAGTACATGCGTTTTTGACGAACGACTGGGTACGGTAATTATTTATTATTTTATTTACTTGTAGATGGCAGAAATATTTTAGCAGCCTATAGTGCAGATATTCAGGATACTGTGAAATTGAAAAATGTTGAAATGCGACTTAGATTTCGTTTTTTTCTTTTTCTTTACGGAAGCCCGGCTGTGAAGCAATGATCTGAATTATTCCGAAGAAGAATAGTTTTCTATTCACAACAGGATTTCATGAGCAAAATAAACATAGGAATTGAATGTCAGATGGTTTGTAAGAAAGTGAAGTGCAGTACAATTAACGACAGCTACTGCTTCTCCTTGATATTTTTTTATATTCTCACAACAAAATATAGATTATAGTCGCTCAAATCATCTCACTGGTTCTGTCCATCTTCAATTATACCTTGACAGCGACAAACTTGTATTTGTTACGTTTCAAATGTGCTTCATCAAGCTTGTCTCCAGATACATCGTCTTCTGGGCAAGTGCAATACGTAAAGTCGATTCGAAATCAGGTGCGATCGTGTTGTGTCGGCCACCCCTGGTATATGCGACGACGACAAAAACTGGCAATAGCAAATTGTTAAATTAACGTGGTTTGATGCGTGCGTTTTTACCTAATGTGTACAATGGAATAGTTTGAAGGATTTTTTGGCTTATATTTGAGCGATATATTTTCTAGTTTTCAGCACGAAATGTGATTTAAAATCAGGCTCTTTTTAGAACCACTAACAACACACTCCACTATTCCAGAAAACCATGCCTAACTTATACCTCTACAACTATACCAAAATTTAAAGCAATTGGTCCAGTAGTTAACGCGATATTTCATAACAACAAGAAAAAGAATCCTAATAACAAAATGCCCATATGTACGTTTCGTGTTCAACAAGAATGTAACATTATAACTAGGCTTATATTTATTTTTGAGTCAAAAACCGGGACAGTACGGATTGGACAAACCAGCCTTGGTTTGATTCTGAGGCTTAGTAATAGGATAGGATAGGATTTACATATTTATCCCGGGGGAGAGGAAAGCCGATAAGACGGCTTATCCATATGGCAAACCACGGCCTCTCGTCCGGTTACCATTCCAAGTCGGGTATGGGATTAGATTTACTGTATTGTTTGTTTTCGGAAGCATGGACTTGGTGGTGGAGGAAGCCGTAACCGACCAGCGGTTACGTGAACCACCCAACGACGGCGAGGAGTCCAGCAATCCTCTCGCACATAACCATCCCTGCATGGGATTCGAACCTGCGAACCCACGCAGGGTAGTTAGAGGTGCGGTGGCGAGCGTATTCCTAACGCTTAGCCCGTTGAGCCACACCGCCGCGCCATAATTTAATCTTTTTCCGTACCTTTGTGTACGTCATATTTACCGATTTATGCCATTGCGTGCTGGGCTCCCCGCCGTCGTTCACGTAATCGCTGGTCGGATACGGCTCCCTCCTCCTCCATCAAGTCCAGGTATCTGATACGAATAACTCGCGAACTGATCCCATACCCGACATGGAGAGGTAATCGGGCGAGGGGCCTTGGTATGTCACATGATTAAACCTCGTAATTGGTTTTCCTCTATCCCGGGATAAATATTGTGAAGACCTATCATAGCCGTAATATATCCCGGAATCTATTTGAAAACCGCTTCATATAAGATACGTTGCGCATCAGCGATTCTAAATTATTTATTTGTGCTGATCAGTGACCCTTGACCGCGTTCTATGTTTGTTAGCAACCTGCATTCCTGAACGTTTTCTCGTTGACGCGTTCTTGTTTTTCTCAGAAGAGCGTCCACAAATTGTGAAGTTTCTATGTGTAATTTTGGAAATTAACAACAAAAATGAATGATCAAGTGAAGAAAATTGTTGAAATATTGAATAAGAAGCCTTTTGAGAAGGAACTTAGTGCGATTGCATTTCATTCGCTTGGATCTGAGCAGCTCATTCAGTTGATGAATGATATTTTAGCCCATATTGACAGCAGACATGCAGGGGATATACGCGAAGAAGCTCCGGACGCTAGAGCAGGTCGAATTTTGAATGCTTTGAAAAATCTGAAATATTCACCGCCTCCAAATGCCGATGTTTCAAGTTTTCGACAAGGAATTGTATTGGGAGAAAAAGAAGTTTATTGCCCAATTCTATTTTATCTCCTGACGAATCTGGATTCACTGAAAACTCGTGCATACTTAGCAAAGTTTTTGGTGAAGTTACAGCTTCCTCCTGAATTTGTTCAAGATTTTTCGGACGCACAAATGCAAGAGGCTTGGCATCGGTACGAAGAACTTCAAGATCATTTTCTGAACTGCCACAAGGAGTATGTCGATCTAAAAAAACAAAGTCATGGTACCGGTGAAATCCGCAGCGATATTACCACCATGGAAGAAGAAAAAGAAAACCTTTCAAAACGTGTAACTCGACTTCGTAAAAAAGTTGAAACATTTCCAAATCTTAGCGAAGCATTATCCACTGCACAAAACATGCGTAAAGAAAAAGAACGAGCAGATGATTTGAAGTTAAAAATACAACAACAACGACGTCAGTTACAACTCAGCGAACAACGATTACAGAACGCTAGACAGAGTCTCCAAGACGCACGACAGGCTGGCTCGAACGCAAACCCCGAATCGATAATTGGGAGAATGGAAGAAGACAACCGTGTCAATAAATATTTAATCGATGAAAAGTTACCGAAAGAAATGAAAAGTCGGAAAAAGTTTTTACAGAGTTTACAACAAGTTGCATTGGAGCCTGCAATCACGCAAAACGATCTGGACAGGATTGAATCAGATATTCAAGACATGAAAAATAATATCAACAGTCTTGTCGAACAACGAATGGTCAAAAATTACCCAGCGAAAGATAATTTGACAATGTATCGCCAACAAGCTTCGATCCTACAACATAAGAAAGAGACTGTGTCGGAATCATTGCAAGAAACGCAAGAAGAGTTTCAAAAACTGGAAAGTGATGTTAAAAAAAAGAGACAACAGCTTACTGAAATGGGGGGAGAAGTTCTCCGTGGAGAAGCGTTTAAAAATTATGTTTCAAAGTTACGTGGAAAAAGTAACAATTACAAAAAGTCCAGACAAGAGTTATCAGACCTTAGAGCAGAGCATGGTGTTCTCTCTCGCACTGAACAGCTTCTAAAACAAAAACACGAAGATGCGCAAAAAACTCTCCGCACTCGAGAACTTAAAAGTGGAGTTTCTGGTTTCCGTGACACCCAAGATGACTTGGAAAAAGTATCGTCGATGAAAAGTGAACTTGATGACGCGAAACATCGTACTTTAGATGACATGTCGGATGCCGTAAAACGTCTTAATTCAATCATCCAAGACAAGAAATCTGACCTTGCTCCGCAGATCCGTGAACTACGACCTTTACGTCAAAAGAACCAGGAATTGATGCAGGAATGGACTGAGAAGAAGGGGCATTACGATGGAGTTCTTGCCGGGCTTGAGTCAAACCGTGCTCAATTGGAACAGACAGTTACAGGATTACGAGAATTCTGCTCAGAAACGGAGAGCCGATATTTTTATTTGAAAAGCATGAATAAAATTATCGAAGTCCAATTAGAACGAGCGAATAAGGAATTACGGACGTACATGTCCGCGACTGGAGCAGATAAACAGAAATCCTATCGAGAGATTTACAATAAAAAGATACAAGAGCAAGAAAATAGAGCAAAAGCCCTTCGTGAATCTCAGAAGCAAGTTCGCGAAAATCACGACCAGAATCAAAAACAAATGTTAATGTGGTCGGATCTAGATAAAATAATGCAATGTAAATTGGACTGTGCTAAAAAGATGATGAACTAGGATTATTCATCAAAATGACTGTATTTGAGAAGACATTGGGCCCAGGGGACGGTACATTACTCCTCTATAAGCTTCAAATTTTTGTATTATGGTATCGTATTTTGATGTTGAATTCAACAAATACTTTAAGACAATGAAAATAGTAAAAAGCAACATAGCCTGGGCAATATGAAAAATCTCCAGAATTGCTGATGTCCTTTGACTCTTGGGTTAAAGACTTATTATTGATTATTGAATCCCTAATTAAAGGAATGAAAGGAACTATTATTTTTACAAGAACTAGAATTCTTTTTTGGTTCAGCATCAATTCATTACACTCTGGGTATGATGGGATTTATTAGATACCGTATACAAATTATTGTAGTACTTTGTGCATGTCAAGTTATGTTTTAAAATTCGCCTTTTTGTATCATTTTATTTCAAAGCCTTTAATCTTGTGTTGCTTATCTGACTGTTGTAAAATGTCATCGGCCCAGTTCAAGATTTATCCCAAAATCTTCTAATGAGCCAACATTTATAAATTGTAGACACTTCTCTGATATCTGGTTCAGAAAGTGTATAATATTGGTAACAAAAATGAATTCATAATTTTATTATTTTCACTCTTATTGCAATGTTATTTAAAGTTGTTCTGATCTCCATGCATAAGGCTAGCAAAAGATTCGTCTTAATTTACCAAGAATCTAATTAGATGCTTATTTGGTTTCCGGTTTTGGAAATGTGTAATACCGAGTGCAAGGTTTGAATGTGAATTTTTCGGTTTTTACTCTGAATGCAATGTTGTTTCAAATTGGGGGCTAACCCTAACAAGTTTAGATTTTATTATCTAAATAGTTGGGAACCCTTCCTAGCAAAATTGTACATATTCAAACACGCCTATAAAGAAGTATTTTACAAAATATAGTATTTGGTCAGACTTTTAATCCATTCTGGCTTTTTAACAACCAGAAACCATTGAAGGATCCCTGGGCAGAACGACCTTGTCTTAATAAGCAAGTGTCAGTGCTACTATTTTCCACTTCACTGCTTTTTATTGTGCATATTAGGAACAGTACTAAGTAGACAATGATTTGATGTTCATGTTTGTTAATAAAAATGTTATTTTTGTTAGATTCTATATTATATATTCTAAATTATTTTTATCGAAACTAGTAATCCATGATGAATCGGTCGAAGAACTCTGCGGCGCAGACTCCTGAAGCGAGAGCAAGGTAGGTACTAAGTTTTCAATGATTTCTGAAAGCACAACTTTGAAAAAGTAAAACATTTTGATATCCTGGCTTTCTTATGAGAATGCATAACAAATAGTCATAATGAGGATTAACATGTTTATTCCAATGGAAGGTCGTATGAAGGCTTAGTCGTGGCAAATCACGACCTCTCGTCCGGTTGCCTGCCTTTGTCTTCATAATAATTTGATATCATATCTTCTAGGGACAATCAAACGAAATTTATTCGCGAAGCTGTTACCAAAGTAGAGAAGAATTTTGGGACAATCTGTGGACAAATGGGAGCTGTGAACAGAAGAAGCAGCAGGTTGAGAGATAAATTTGATGAAATGGCAAAGGTGGGATTGTTGACATAGAATTTTTTTGAATTGCTCAAATCAAGCATGTGCGCTTAGTAAAAAGTAATGAGCCTAAACAACTGAAATTCCATGACAACCACTAGTATAATATTTTCTATACAAAACATGATATATATATGGATATGGATATGATTTACATATTTATCCCGGGGGAGAGGAAAGACGATAAGACGGCTTATCCATATGGCGAACCACGGCCTCTCGTCCGGTTATCATTCCAAGTCGGGTATGGGATTAGTTTTACTGTATTGTTTGTTTTCGGAAGCATGGACTTGGTGGTGGAGGAAGCCGTAACCGACCAGCGGTTACGTGAACCACCCAGCGACGGCGAGGAGTCCAGCAATCCTCTCGCACATAACCATCCCTGCATGGGATTCGAACCTGCGAACCCACGCAGAGTAATTAGAGGTGCGGTGGCGAGCGTATTCCTAACGCTTAGCCCGTTGAGCCACACCGCCGCGCCGATTTACACTTATTTATGCCATATTTACACTTATCCTACAAACAATGCTTTGTTCAAGTAGCCAGCACTGTTTTGCAGTTTGCTGGGACAAAAAATAGTTTTTTTTTGTAACTATTTAACCAAAGGCTTCCGAATTTATAGTAATTGGAAATGAAAATGTTTTTTTATTTTTTCAAATTTTATCAGAGAGCTGATTTTGCTTTTGCTGATAAAAAAACACATTGCTCTTTCAATACTCAATGATTCACTTTCGTATTTAGACTTTTTATACTTTATACTTCGTATTTAGACTTTTTATACTCTTTCTTTATACATTGCCCAATTCTATCTGATATCCATGGCATTCGATTTTGCTGATTTCAAAAAAAAATTATGCTCTCTTTATGATTTTCATTGAATCCCCACTATTTAAAAAAAAACTGTTGTAGCCAGTAGCCACTTCGACTCTCGGCAACCATAACTCGGTGAACAAAGAGATGCAGGTTGCCGATCGCTGACTCAGGATAAAGTTTAGTCGACTTTAATTAAATTTGTTTAATTACCAAATTTTGTGAAAATAATCTTCCAACTCAAACAAATAGTTGTTCGTGTAAACCTGTGTTATCTTTGAGAACATTTTTTTCAGATTACCTAGGAGGAAAAGTATAAAACTTAACATAAATTTCATTTCTTTTCACGAATTTCATTTTTTTTTACCAGTTTATGCTGAATTACGCCAACACCGAGCCAGGACCATTGAAAGTAACACTAACTCAATTCGCGGAACATATCTCTGCTGTCCAGGACTACAGGCAAGCTTTGGTGAGTTTTACATTTGTAATCCTGATTCTCAGGTAAAACAAATTTAGTACTGTTCAAATGGTTCCTAAACCAATTCAATATGGCCTGCCGAACTTGAGTAAAATAGTTTAACATATTTCGTTTTTTTCTTTTTGTGTCCTAGATATAATAGCAACAATTCAGTTTGGTATCTTAACAATTTGGTATCTTGATTATACATACCGGTACCGGTATCAGCTCCTTGCGGGTGCTCCCTGGCCCGCGATTATCCTTCAGTTTTGGCCGGCAGGCTTTGGGAACCTCTAGCCCAGAGGATAGATTGATTTGATTATTATTGGACTGGGTACTATTGTTTGAAATTTCTCTCAAAAAAATTTTTTGGCTTCGAGCTTCCAAAGACAAAAAAAATCTTTGGGCTGAAATCAAATTTCTACAAACTTGAACACTTATTAAACTTCTGATGGTTACACCGTAATATGTGTACCAGGGTAAGGTTAGGCCATACTTTTAATCCGATTTTCCTTATTTTAGTTCTATTACGAGTTCGGGGACTGTCTGTGTTAGCCAAGTGAGTTTCCCATAGGTTTCAGTTCCTTCACACAACTTAATATAAAATAGGCAAACAATATTAGTTACCCCCATATCGGTACACATACTTCTGGAACGCCACTTCAATTATGTGGACTTCTACATGATATTGTGATTGACCTAATCATATTCACTTCAACTACTTCAAGTGTTATGTGCCATATAATTCAGTATGTTTTGTTTGCAGCTGTTGTAAATAGACTGTTTTTTATTCATAGTTTTCCATATTGAGGGCTCTCCCCTGCTCTATTCCAACAAACACCCCCTCTCTTAGAAGGTGGAACAGCTGAGCTTTCTCTGAGATTTTTTTTTTTTACTTCTGAGTGAGTGTACATGGCCTTGCTTTGAGTAAATTTTTCTTGAAGAAATCCTCCCACAGATAATTCAGCTTTTACTTTATTTTTCTTCTGGGTCGAAAATGATAGTTGCAAATGTCGTAATTGCATTGCTGATTGTTACTTTTATACAATACTTTCCGGAGGAGGCACTGATAGGTATAAGCTACTATTTTTGAAGAAAATTTTTTTTTTTATCCTTGGGGGGGAAGTTGGCATGGCGATTGAACACGATGTGTGTGACCTGCGACAGCAACATAGTCACAGTTATTACAACTAATCCATCCTGTTTAAAATGCACTAATCGCAATTCCTAATTTTTCAGATTGACAGAATGGATGGGAAGGTCATTCAACCTTTAAGCCAATACAAATCTTCATGTAAACACACTCAGGTATGCTTATAGAATGAATCATGATAGTACTTGATATCTTCATTAAAGAGGCACCGATTGAGCGATATATGCAATATCGGCCGTTGTGAAGGTGTCAGTATCGACAAAAATTGACTCATTTTGTTCCCAACAACTCAACTAATGTGATACAGACTGAATATATTGAAATAATCATCAATAATAACATTTCATGTTTTTGCTTCCAACTACTCTCAAATATTTCCGATTTATTAAACTCTTTATATTTCATTTAAGATGTTTTGAAATAGAGAAGTTGGCAGAATTATTGTGAAAAGTTGAACAAAGTCGCATGCGCTTTTTGATTTGATTTATTTCTCTCTGAACCTGGCTCCGTACAGGCAGTCAATGATATGCAATAATTTATTGAATTCTATTTTCTGTATGAACGTCAGATGTCAAAAGCTTAAAGTATCAAATTTTGAAATGATAATATTAGATTAAGATTAGATTAGTTTTTGGATTTTCTATATGGCGTATGTTTGTAGTTTAGGAAAGGGGTTCTCAACCTTTTGGTGTTATGGAGCATGTGTAGAGCTTGACTAATATTCAAGGAGTTCACAATAAATTTATCAAAATAGAAACAAAAAACCACATTGTTATTGTTACTTACCTATTAATGTTGCTGAGTAAATTAAGATACCTTTATTTAATGACTCGGATATCTTTCTGCTTTGTATTTAAAAAATATTTCATTATTGCTGTTAGGTTTATTGCTTTTTTGAACAGTTACGAAATTAGCAAAGTCGGTATTTTGATAAGTAAACGAATAGCCCCCAGGTTTCTCCCACAGAGCGCTGTGGCTCCTTATGAAACACTTTGAGAACATATTGTGGTATAGGGCAGGGGTGCACAACTCAAATGAGGATACGTGCCAAATTTTTCAAAATAATCTTGTCGCGTGCCACGCACAATTGTGGTATTGTAAATTAACTCCCGCAAAACAAACAAATTTCAATAATAATACATAATAACGGATATCTATTTATTGAAACAATTTAATGTCCTGAAATACTGCTGATTTTGATATAAACGTGTTATTTTAATATATATCATAAATAATTGTTTTTTTTACCAAACCGCTCGCGTGCCACGTTTGAGCGTATGGCGTGCCAATTTGGCACGCGTGCCCCGTGTTGTGAACCCCTGGTATAGGGCATTAAATGCCAACCATTGAAAATGAAAATTGTACAATATCCTATCTCTTCATGTGCATTACTAGTTTAAATATATTGCTGGTTGCTGGCTAATGGTAATCCAAAATCAATGGGGATTATCTGTAAGCAATCATTCATTCAATATTGTTGAACGCTGACTCTGGTAAAAATATTCTCTATTACCCTGCTATTTTTTATAATCACCAATTTAATTGTATAGTTCTATTGTATTTGTCTTGAAATTTCTGATATATCGCAGCTCATGCCAAATTGGTCTATTTCTATATGATTCTATTTATATAGGAATAGTCTTGATAGATATGGATAGGTGGTCCCGCTCAGCATTCAAAATATCTGCTTGGTAGAGAGATATCGGGCTACTAATTGTTACAGTATGCTCCTAATTTTATTCATATTTTATTTATTTTAGTTCTATTACGAGTTCGGGGACTGGCTGTGTTAGCCAAGTGAATATACCCCGTGCCCATAGGTTTCAGTTCCTTTACACAACTTGATGTAAAGTAGGCAAACAAAATTAATTCCCACCTATTGGTACACACACTTCTGGAGCGCCATTTATTCAGCAACTTAAGGTATCATATTGTCCATGGTTTTTTCCATTCACTATAGGAACAGGATTTTGATATTCATCTTGGAGGGAGAGTAAAGACGTCTCATCTTATGGCAGTAAGCAGTCCATCAAGCCCCTCATGATAAATACTAAATAGCGATCTGAGACCGCCAACTTATCGATCTTGCGGTTTCGATTCCTTCGCTCTGACTCAATAGCGACACCGCATGTCCCATCACTAACTCCCTAACTGTATGACATAATTCATCTAAAATCAATAGGCTTCTGGTCTGAGATATGATGAATGCACATGCAAAATTTGGAGCAGATTCAACCTCGCTCTCGTGAGATATCACGTAACATACGAAAGTGAAACAAACAAACAGGCAAATACCTATCAACATACTTACCGATCGATAAGTAATAATCATATAATCATCTTACATAGGATTCGAACAGGATATTCAGGAGCTCAATTGCAAGTTCATTCCTAACGCTTGGCACGATGAAACAGCCAGTGAGTCAATGTAACACCTTTCACATTCTTGTTACAGACTGACCTCAACAACACAATGAAGTCTCGTGGACGAGTCGTGCAAAAACATAAGCAGTTGGATTCCTACCGGAATAAAGCACCGAGTGATAGACAACAGATTGTATCCTTCATACAGAAAATCTAGTGTGGTCATCTATATTTTTGACACACCCAAATCTTTGGCTCATTGTTTTTATTATAGACTAATACCACGAAAATCCAATTCTCAAACCTTTGAAGATTTCCAAGTTCACCTGATTTCCTCAGCGTTATGTGTTTTTATGGGCTGTGAACGTCTTTGTAAAATTGTACAAGTATTCAACGGGATATTACCAATCGTGAATTGTATATATTTTTTGCAACAGAAAAATCATCTTCTTTTTAGGAAGTGTTTTAATTATAGCTTATTTTTTTTTAAAAGCAGCGATAATGATTTCCGAACCATCTCAACTCTCTTTCGCACAGCTTTACCTGTACCCTTGCTTTACATGTTAACCATTACTTGTCCATTGCACCTATTACTGAAGCACTGCTTCAGCGTTCCATGTTGGAATGGTTTCATTTTGTACTGAATTTTTCTTTGACTCCCACATCTCAGACTCGAGCTGAAACTGAACTTCAACGAGCTACAATCGATGTGGAACGCAGCACGAAGAATCTTGAAGAAACGATCGATACTTTTGAGTCGAAGCGAGTCACAGATATTAAGGTTGAAAGAAAAATTTTGTTTTTTCTCTGATCTTGCTCAAAGCGAACTCACATGCACTACTCAGGTGTAAAAGAGACTTATTTCTGGGCGCTGCGGAAGTATTTGTACCAAGATGACACACAACCTGAACAACCCTGACCTGGTACACATACTATGTTCAGGTTGTGCGCCATCTTGGTACGAATACTTCGGGAGCACCCATTTCTGAACAAAATTCAGGCTGGTTCCTGTACTGGCCGGTTACGCCTTCCTCCACCATCGAGTCCATGCATCTTATCCTAATTTGACTGCCACCCACTGAAATGAAAAGAGTTGTGAAACATATTGAGTTATTGTCAGTTCTGAACAAATCAGCTATTACTTGAATGAAAGGAACCTTTCTGATTTAGTCATGTCTATTCAATTTATTATACCCTCAATAAATCGACGCGTTTGGACCAGAGGTAAGATCGGGCCCAAAAATTTCATCCCGACCTCCCAGGCCCATGGGCATTGAACCCGATTTGGGTTCTGGATTTGCAGGCCCAAACCCGAAATTTCATATTTTATTTAGGAGTTCATTTAATTGTCATCGAAAAAGTTTAGTACAGTATGTGTTGATGAGGCAACTTCTGTTTTTTGCAGTTTCTCGTGGCCAAAACGCCTCATTTAAAAAAAAAGTCAGCGATAGAGAAGCCCGATCTAAACATAATGATTGACATTTCAGGCCACAATTTCGGGTCGGGTTGGGCTTCAGATCTCAGTTCTAGTCTGGACCCCCTAAATAACAACTGAGCCAAGGTGCGACAAATTTTACGGATTTCTGGATGATTTAGGAGGCCAAAACCAAATATTATAATCATTTTTGCACGTTTTTCGAATCTAAGAATGTTTTCAAAACTGTTTTTATATTTTTTTAGAAAATTTTGTTGGATTTTGTTCAAATCGAGATGTTATTTCACGCCAAAGCTCTCGAGAGATTCACAATGTGCTACAACGACTTGGAAAAGATGAGTCTCGATGATCATCTTGTGGTGAGTAGATGCATTCTATTAAATACTTTACTCAAGTGCAGGGGTCCCAAGCTTTTTCAGGACGACCCTAAGGACAACTTTCAAGTGTCCAGTGCGACCCCAGGTCAATATATATATTTTTTTACGAAACTTTAGAGCTTCTTTCACTGGACTTTTGAGTTTGGTCATGTTGTGGTATTGAGTGAAATAAGCTAAAACCAAACTGTGATGTCACAATGAGCACCTACATTTTGTATAGCATAAGCATAGAGCGATGCATATGGGCCTGTTTTACAGTAAGCCATGGTACAAACTGCTAAATTTAACATGGTTTGTCAAATCTTAGATGTTTTGTACATACATGCTGTACTATACCTCAGCGCCCCCATGACCTGTTCGTGACCCTACCTACTTCTCACTCCGACCCAATTTGAGGTCGCGACCCCTGGTTTTGGAACCCCTGCTCTAGTGGTTCCTAAAGTTGATTGCCAGGGGCCAGAATTGGAAACGGAAAGATTAGGGATGGGCAATATAGAATACCGAATCCGGAGGATTCGAATCCCAAAGTATTCGAATCCAACGGGATCCGATAACAGGATTCGGTTTCCGCCTCTCTGGCGCCAAGCGTCAATTTTTGTATTTCGGGTTTCTAATAGACGAGCGTTTTTCTCGCGTGGAAATCTCTCTCGTTTAATTAAACTTGCGTCTGCTCGCAAAGAACCCGTAAATCGGTAAACATCAAACACTGTAATTTCAATCGGCATATTCAGGACAAGAAGTCGGTAATATAACCTCACGGCGAAGACTCGTTATTGCACCATTTTTGCGTTTTCCTTCTTTGCTACCCAGCTAGCGTTATTTGTGCCGACTTATTGGTGATATTCCGATAATCTGAATGCAACAATCTTTAATTGATTACAGACGTGCCTTGCCTCATTTTAAATTAAATGATTTTTCGCGACCTACGAGTTTTCCCAAAAAAATGATGCACGTAAACCAAAAGCCAGGCGTTATAAATGTTATAACATTACTCGCCATTAATTTAGATCAAATATTATTTACGAATAATTTTATTATACCATTTTCCGAAATACAAAGTTATATCGCAAAACGCGAACAACTCTCACATTTAAATTTCACTCTCAAAAGATTACATATTTTTCGGTCCGTTTCTATTGTTCAAGATAGACGCACGTTTGATCGAGTGTCTGTAGTATTTTAGTCGCCGATAAATTTTGAAAAAAGTTGCCGCATCTGGCGAAGATAGTGACGTATTGAATTTGAGTAGGGCTAAGTCTGGGTAGATAATGATTAATGATAACATTTCTATCGTTCAAGATAGACGCTCGTTTGATTAAGTGTCTGTTGTATTTTAGTCGCCGATAAATTTTGAAAAAAGTTGCCGCATCTGGCTAAGATAGTGACGTATTGAATTTGAGTAGGGCTAAGTCTGGGTAGATAATGATTAATGATAACATTTCTATCGTTCAAGATAGACGCACGTTTGATTGGAAGTCTGTAGTATTTTAGTCGCCGATGAATTTTGAAAAAAGTTGCCGCATCTGGCGAAGATAGTGACGTATTGAATTTGAGTAAGGCCAAGTCTGGATAGATAATGATATGTAACGATAATCATGGAAAAATGAGTTCGTCTTCAGATGTTATTACCTAATAACTAAGTACGAAATCGCGTTTACGGGAATTTGGTTTTACGTGTCTTGCTCTCACAGAATAAAAGGTTGATTTTAATTGATAGTGGTTAAATTTAATATTTTACAACGGCGCATAGGTTGCAGTGGCCACACGCTGGTTCTCAGCGGGTTCGTTTTAGTATACTCGGCAGACTTACATTAATAATGATTTAACGCCGTTTCATGTCTATTTTGTATTTAACCGCTTACTATTAAAGTGTGTAAAGCGTGTCTTAATTTAGCATATCAGTATTTATTAGTATTTAGGGATTACATACACCTTTGGAACAATTGAAGGCAAAAAATATTGTAATATTCCTAAATTTTATTGTCCTGGGAACTGCCTGTTTAGTATCAAATGAAATCCAATGTTCAGGACATTTCCAAATAGATAACACATTTATAGTAAGTAATACATTTGCAATTTTTTACCATCTAAATCCAGCAATGTAGAAATTCCCACTATTTGAATAAGTATAAAAATAGAATAGGATTCGGTATTCTGGATTCGATTTAACTATTCTAGAATATTCTAGAATAGTAAATTATTCTACATTGCCCATCCCTAGGAAAGATACTCGCGGGCCAGGAGAGGGCACCCACAATAAGTTTTTTTCTTATGTCTCAGTTGTTCCGAAACTCTCTCCGTCCAACTCAAGCCCAAGTCAGACTTGATCTCGTCCGACAGACAGCTGGAATGGATTTGAACGCTCAACAACAACAACAACAACCCCAGCAATATCAGCAAGGTGAGATATCTAATTCTAATATGTATGAATAGGATAGGGATTTCCTATTTATCTGGGAGGAGAGGAAAGTCAACAACCTATAGTTATGACGACTTAACCATATTGCGAACAACATGTTAAAAGCCTTATGAATGAGGGCACAATCAATGAAACCACTGTACTACTGTGTTCTATGCCAGATATTTCAGATACAGATATAGATATTTATTTCCATCATGCAAGAATCGATATAAGGCATTCATACACATGAAATAAATAAAAAACAGTTACTATTCCTTCGTTGTTTTCAGGACCATTAGGAGACTTATACACGACACCCCAAAGACAAGATACAACACCGATGTCTCATGATCCAACAAGACCACAAGGTAACTTGCGTAGTTTGCAATTGAATAAAACAGGGCCTCCCAAACTGTGGGTCGCGACCCCGCAAGTGGGCGCTCAACGAATTTTAGGGGGCGGCAAAGAGTACAACAATATTACACAAAGTACTGCATCTATTGTATTTTTTTAGACTTTTGATTTGAAAACACAATTATCAAAACTAGTGCCAAACAGAAATCTCATAATTTCAAATGAATACATTAGAGCAGAAAAACGGCATAACAATACCGACTTTGATAATAAGAACCAAGAAACGACACGCTCGCATCTAACTGTTCAAAGATTTCAAACGTTAACAGGGGTTGCGGAAAATAGTAATTTATTGAAAGGGGTCACAACTTTTGGAAGCCCTGGAATAAAATATGATAAAATAAGTCTCGTATAATATCATTAACATTGTGCCGCGGCTTCCATTGCATAGGCATGAATAACAAGATCAGCGCTTCTGCATCTCATATTTTTTTAATACAAATAACAGATAGTAGTATTTTTTATTCGAATGTTAAAAATATGTGGATTTGGTTAAAAATATCCGAAATAAGGCAGGCAAGCTCAAATCTTTTTATTTTTAATTAGCTTCGCGCTCCCTCAAAAAATTGTCTGCGCCCCCATTGTAGGGCGCGCCCCACCGTTAGAGAACCACTGAACTAGATAGAAAACATCCGCTGGTGCAGGGATACTGAACTATTTTTATCGAAAGGTCCGCAAACAAAACTTCAAAATTATTTAGGTCCGGTCTTTCCAGAAATGATATTTCGGCATCCTTAAACGAGCACTTCCTCGACCGACTAATGATTAGTAGCAAATTAAAATTGTTTATTATGGTGTTATAGTTCTTTTCGTATATATTCAAAACTATGAAAGTCATTTTATAATGGGAAATTCAAAAAGTGGGGCTAATGATCCAAAATAAATAATTAGGTGAGGTCCAAATCCAATACTCGAAAGGTCGTCCGCCAGTTGAGTAGCCCGGTGCTAGTGTACGGTGGTCCATATAACCGAGAGATGGTTTCGTCCACTATCAAAGTCTAAGATGTGAAAAGCTGAACAAGTTACCTACTAGCCCATCTCAACCATTGCGATATGATTGAGCCATATTTAAAAAGAATTCCCTTCAATTATTCCACTCAGATAAATACAGTGTTCCCATTTAAATTTCATAATTTCATTTAGGGCAACACCAAGAATATGAAGACCAGGAAGAATACGACGACGAGGATGAAGAATACACAGAAGATGAATACGGGAGCGAGGAGGAAGATGAAGAAGATGAGGAGGGGGATTCCCCACCCCCACAACATCAACAAAGGTTAAAACCATGGTAAATGCTGGACATCGGTAGATTTTGATGCGAAAGTGATGTCATAATACATAAACATGATGTCATAAAGCAAAATGTGACATCATAAAGGAAAATATGATGTCATAAATCAAAATGTGACATCATAATGAAAAAACAGGGAGTCATAAAATGAAATGTTACATCATAATAATATAATAGTGCCCATAGTGAATGCATTCGAGAATCAAAGATGTGCGAATTTAAATAATGCTTGTTCAAAAGCGATATTTAAATAATGCTTGTTCAAAAGCGATACATATAACCAACATATATATGCGGACATTTTAAATTTTATGGAGTGTAATTTATTTCCGAATCAACGTTTCACAGATTATTCTAAATCAAGGTTTCCCAAACTCTCTGGGCCGCGAACCACTGTTCGTAAATCTTATTTTTGACGGACGCCCCATCCTATGCCGTGTCAATTTCTGTGCCTAACCAATGGAAAAGGATAATGTTTCTTTGATGAAATAAAGGGGCTCCCGAAGTATGCGAACCAAGATGGCGGACATCGGAATGTAATATGTGTACTAGGTTAGGGTTAGGCCATAATTTTAAGTATAAATACTACGGGAGGCTCTTGGCTAGTCTTCGAACTGATAATAGGACTAAAATAAGAAAAATTGGAAAAAATATCGCCTAACCCTAACCTGTTACCCATGTTACGTTCCGATGTCCGCCATCTTGGTTCGCATACTTCGGGAGCACTGAAATAAAACTCATGAAAGTCTGAATCAATACATACTAACGTTAAATACTGGTATGCTGAAGGCAATCCGATAAGATTACGATCTATTTGTATATGTTCTGTTTCAGACTATTTTCATATTGTTGCATACCCCCTGTGTAGTAATGCAGCGCAGACCCATGGGTGTTCTTGAACCCCAGGTTGGGAAACCCTGATTTAAAGAGAGTTATTCTACGAGAATGAGAATGAAATATGTTTTTATACAGATAGTATCGTAAGCATTAATTATCCTTATACGATTTCAGTTCCGCTCTACGAGAGGCTAAAAACCCAAAGCTTAATATTATTGGATAAGATTGAAAAGCAATTTTTTTGATTTTCATTAAAAAAACTTCCTTGGTCGTTACTCTTAGTCACACAGTTCATGAACTTTACTGCTGTATATCAATTAACTAGACGCTTAATTAATGAAAAGCTGTGTCCTATTATTAATCTCTTAACTGTGATGGTTTTGTTTATTTATTATTTTTATTTGTATATTTTACAATGTCGGCAAGTGTATACATCCTATTTAAGTAGATGACTTTGTATAATTTTTGAATGATCGTTTTATGATCCACTAGAGGGCAGGTTTTGGTTTCGTTTGCCGTTTGAGCGCTAAAATTTAACCCACGGGTCAACAAAGTATCAGTTAAAATATTAACTTTACCCTACTCAATTCTAAAATTTCCTCTATTTGAAACGAAATGGACTTTATTTTTTTCTCTTGGGAAAAACATGATGTTGGGTCAGCTTGATATCAGCAGAGTTTTGTCAGTTTTGATGAAATGATATGATCTTTGCTGCTTATAGAACTTTATTGTAATTTTTAATAGTTAAATTTTTTCACACTATATGTATCTTACCCGATCTATTACGCTTGTATTATTTGTGATGATGTATTTTTATTAGTTTCATCAAAACACAGTTTTCACTTTTAAAAGTACTGGTATTTCATCTGCATGCATGATGGTACATAGATGTATTCTTTTTAATATAGTTGATTTTACAAAATGCTACATTGGAGTTCATTTTATCTTTGAGTGTAAGACATCATAAAAAATGCTAATTTGGTGCAAACCATGGCCTCACTACATTTTAAATTGCTGTATTTTGGAAGAAATGAAACAAAAATTTATCTTGTCAGGGTGTCTAGCTGTGTTGCTACTGTTCTGTTTGGGTTGAACAGAATATTCTTCTTTATAGAAAATAACTTTTCAACATATCGTTCAATATCAGTGGCTTTTTGTAGGAAGTCTTGTTTGGAGCAAAAGGCATCATAAAAACTTTTTTTTTTTAATTTTTGCGAGAAGCAGGCCTAATGGCGTAGCCAGGAAGGCCGGGAAACATAGGTTTTCTAAGTCTTAAAGGTCTAAAAAGCGTTTCAATCTACGAAAAATTGCTAAGTATAATACAAAAAAAATTTTTTTTTTCAAATTCTAAAAGGGAGGAGTTCCAAGCCTCTGACTATGCTCCTGAGTAGGCCTGTTTGTATTAGAAAAAATTATGGCAGGGCTTTTCGATGCAAAGGCCCCTCCGTCCTCTTAATTAGCATACTTTACAACAGTAAAAAATCTTCAATATTTGGTGTCAGAAACTATAACACACTGCTTTATTACTAAAAACCCAAAAGTTCTTCAGCTGTGAAAATGCTAACCTCGTTTTATTATTGAATTAATTTGTTATTTTTACTTTTGTCTTTTTCTGTAAAAAACGAGCTGTATTTGCACTTGTTTTTTGAGCATTATTGGGATCATAGTACACATTCGTCTCAATCAACATGGAATTTGAATGAATTATAATTTGCAAGCTTTCCCACAATATTTTATGACTATCCAGTTTGAAAACAATTTTCAAAATCTTGCCGAGCTCTTGTTTATGGAAAGGGCGCTCCAGAAGTATGTGTACCAATATGGTGGTAACTAATTTTGTCCACCTACTTTACATATGGGTGGGGGTATATTAACTTGGCTAATACAGACAGTTCCTGAACTCGTAATAGAATCAAAATAAGGAAAATTGACATAAAAATATGGCCTAACCCTAACCTGGTACACATACTGCTTTAGAATATTTTAACGTTTCCGATAACCTTTAAACGCCAACAACTTCCTGGCCAAATTTTGTCAAACTTTTCAATATGTATTTCAGCTTGTCGCTTGACGGTTTTCCAAAGCAACAGAACCTCGAATGTCGCTGCTTAATAACCAGTCTTGGTTCTCCCTCGGCTTGCTTTACCCAGTAATACTGTTTAAACTTTTTTCTTATAATTTGTGTACGATTGAATTTGAGAGTCTCGTCTTATTTCGTACCACAATATATTTTACTGGGCGTGGCAAAAAAATGTTTGCATATGTCATTCCTAAGCTTCACTTGACTACGTCATTCAAAAATTATGTCACTACGACGTCACAATCACATCATATAGAATAGCTACGAATCACCCGAAATGGCATCTGCGTCGACGAAAACGAACTTATTCGATCTCTCTCATATTGACGTAATTTTGGATGGCGTAGTCGGGTGACATGTGCAAAAATTGTTACACTAGTCATTGCGGTATAAAACTACGCGAGACGCGATTTTTACTAGTTGGAAAAATAATCTCGATTTATTCTGGAGGAATCATGGCTTGGACATGAAATTTGATGATTCTCATTTTATAGCTGTTATCTATGTTAGACCAATGTATTGTGTATTGTATTATTGCATTGTAATGATGAGGCCAAATAAAATGGTGTTTTTATTTTTAAAATAAAATGAGTATGAAATGAATGAATTTGTGCTTCCACGTGTTGGCCTGGAATATTTTAAGGTAATATCGTGCACAAAGTGACCTATGGATGGTTTTGTTATTACTTATTGATCTTAAGATCGGTAAGTATGTTATTAGGTATTTGTCTGTCTGTTTGTCTGTTAGATGAACGCGATATCTCAAGAAGGCGAGATTGAATCTGCTCCAAATTCTGCATGTGCATTCATCATATCTCTGATCAGAAGCCTATTGATTTTGGATGAATTATGTCGTATAATTAGCGAGTTATTAATTAATTAGTGATGGGACATGCGGTGTCACTATAGAGTCATGAATCGAAACCGCAGTTTCGATCGGTAAGACTTCGGTCTCCGACCGATATTCTCGTTATATTGTTGTTATTATTTTTCTTGTGAAAAATATCGCTTTTCTCCTTAGATACAGGGCCAATTATTGTTCTGACATTTTCAGGGTTAAAGATTATTGTTGTCACTACAAGCACTTTTATTTATTCCAGAAACTTCTGCGGACCCCATGGGATTTGTTTGATGGCGTCATTAGAATTAAAAATAGCTGCGTTTTGACAGGAACATCAGCGATTTGGTAGTCAGTGTACTGGATGTTTCTCGGTGGGTTCAGCCCAGCCAGAATTGTGCAGAAAAATGTAGACTTAAGACCTAATGCATCACCCATGTGCATAAATTGATCAAAGCTTTACTTAACTAGATAAGATAATTTGGCTTTTCAAGATCTTATTATTTATTTTTATTTCTGGATTATTAGATTATTTATTTCTGGGTGATGCTGAGCTAATAAGTAAAATCCGCATTCCTCTACTCTGGGAAAACTAACAGTTGGGGCTACGGGAAACTAATTACCTTTCCTTGTTCTATACCTTTGCGCAGATGGATGCGTATAACGCAAGGATGCTGTAGGCTGTAGCAAGAGTGAAAACGAGAATATCGGTTGGAGACCGGAGACTTATCGATAGAAACTGCGGTTTCGATTCATGACTCTATAGTGACACCGCGTGTCCCATCACTAATTAATTAATAACTCGCTAATTATACGACATAATTCATCCAAAATCAATAGGCTTCTGGTTTGAGATATGATGAATGCACATGCAAAATTAGGAGCAGATTCAACCACGCCTTCGTGAGATATCGCGTGCATCTAACAGACAGACAGACGAATACCTATCAACACACTTACCAATCTAAAGATCGATAAGTAATGACTATTCTATTTAATTCCAAGAGTCTTGCTGCACACTTACATAAATATAATTCATGTAACGTTTCGTCCGACCAAGGTTAGACGACTTCTCCAGACAAGCATTTTACAACTATGATATGTAAATCAACTATGATAAATATGTAAATCCGATCCGTAGACCCCAATCAACTGGATAGATTTCCCACCTCGCCTATCTCCATTTATAAACGTCCAAATTGGAAAAATAAATTTATTGCAAATTCAAACAGGGAATGATAATATGAAACTAAAACAAACAGACATTAAACTTTTGATATAAATCATAAATTGCTACAGTGAAAAGGGTCAAGATCTCCAAGTTCAGTACATACATCAGTGCAAATATGAGGCAAGATTGTAAAATTAATTAAGATTAATTAGAACTGAAATTAGCAAAAGGGTAGAACCTCAATGCAATGCATTTCAATGTTTTGAAATGAGATGAAAAAACGCAAAAAACTATTGACTAATGCATTAATGTGGGTGCCCACAGAATTTAGAAAATGTTTTTCAAAAGAGACTTCAATGAGATACCAAGAGTTATAACTTAAAACTAATCGAATGCAAGTCTAGTAATTTACATATTCTGGTAAAAATGCTCCAAATGTAACTTCATCTGGTTTATATCAACAAGCAGGAAAATTAAGTCATTGAACAGCAAATGTGTTGATATAATTTTCTCACAATATAGCAAAGCAATTTACTGTGATTTCACTGGATGCCCATACTCAGTTAGGGAGCTTAGTCAGATTACAAAAATTGGTACTCTCGTAGTATGTGTACCAAGTTAGGGTTAGGGCATAATTTTATTCCAATTTTCCTTATTTCAGTTTTATTACGAGTTCCGGGACTGTCTGTGTTAGCCAAATGAATATACCCCCTGCCCATAGGTTTAGTCCCTTTACACAACTTGTTGTAAAGTAGGCGAACAAAATTGGTTGCTTCCATATCGGTACACACACTTCTGGAGCGCCAAAAAATTTTAGTTAATAATTCCACTCAGATACATACAGTCACAGTGTTCCATTTAATTTTCCGAATTGATCTAGGGAGTTGGAGTCGGAACCAGAATCATATTTAGGGTCATTTCTAAATGGCTTAGACTTTGGAATTGAATGTGAATATCCCGATTTCCAGTCATGTTATCAATTAATTTGTTCTAGATTATTCCCAACGAAAGAAACAACTTCCTCAATGTATTTACTTGTGTTGAGATCTTTTCTCAAACTTTGTGAGACAGGCAGTTCATAGTGAGGGCCATACTCAAGAAAATACTCATGTTCTGGTATATCCTCCGAAATCTCTTTACCAAGCAGCGAGGCAGTTACGCTCGTCCAAGACCTGGCTGTATTTGCTGGGTTATATCCACCCCCACCTAAAATTAAAAGGGGAATTCCCCAGTTTTGTATTTTTCTAATGCAATGAATTTGTGACTTATGGGTTAGGTTAAATGAATGCATGGGGTCCTCGTTAAGACCATCAGCACCTAATTGGCACAAAATCGCCCCAGGTTTGAATTTTTTCAAAACAGTGGGTGCAATTTTATCAAAAATATCACAAAATGTGTCATCTCTAGCGCCATCTAACAAAGGAACATTCACAGTGTAGTATTTGCCTTTGCCGTAACCAATCTCTTTGTCTGACCCAGTACCCGGAAAAAAGCCAGGCTCAAATTTATGAATTGAAAATGTTAAAACTTTATTAGTCCCACAGAATGCATCTTGGACACCATCACCATGATGTAAATCTAAGTCGATGTACATAATCCGCTCAAATTTTTTCCGAAGTTCTATAATGCCTAATACGCAGTCATTAACATAACAAAACCCAGCAGCGTTGCTTCGTTTTGCGTGATGCCAACCTCCAAGCCAATGTATCGCCGTTTTGCAAAAACCATTGTTTAACATTCTTGCGGCTTCTATTGTTCCTCCCGCCACTCGCTGGCAGTATTCAATTATTCCATCTTGAATGGGGCAGTCATACTCCAAACCATAGTCATCAGTTTCGTCATTTATAGAATCTTCATCTCTGAAATTAGACAAAAATCGGGTTATAGCAAAATCTTGCGTCAATCAACACGCAGGACCGTAATTATATAGTTTCAGTAGCTTCACACAGCTTTCTCAGATGAGTCTTCTGAGAGATTGCTTGTGACCTTGCTTTGAATAAATCCATTCAAACTGATGCAAGCGAGTAAATTATGCAAATAAGTGAAATGCCTAACAAATTTGGGGTCTAGTATAGTTTAGTACCACAAGTACTTCCAGTGGGCGTAGCATATCGATTTTTGCATATGTTATTCCTAACTAGGCTTGCACGTAATTGACAAAAATCAATTCCGTAATTACGGCCAAATCGATTACGTAATGACCCCGTAATTGCGATATTTTTTTCACACATTTAAACCTAGCATACCAACCAATTTAATCCACTTCTATTCCGAATGGGACATCGAAGTTTGGTTTTCATATTCCCGGCAGTACCACACGCCGGAGACAGATGTTAAAGACAAATATCAAGGAGTGAATTCAAAATAATTTTATTCTGATTTTTATCTTTTGTATTAGCTTTGATTTTCCTTTATCAACTTTATCACCAAATTTTATGCGATCAATTTTATTATTACCAACACTGGTAATATATTTAAGAAACGATAGTTCACTTTTTTAAAATCGTATTGACGTATTAATACGACTTTCGTATTGAATAAAAATTCCGGGTTGCTAATTTATTAATCAACTACAAGCGTATTCTCTCGTTTGATTATACTTTCGCTTGCCTCGCGACTTGTTATTTCACCGTTTTTTACAATATCCGACTTTACTACTTAGTTAGCATTTTATAATAATTATTGATGCCGACTTATTGACGATATTCCGAATTCCATGCTTCATTTTACATTAAATCATTTCGCGGCCTAAATGTTATAACATTATTTACGATAAATTTAGATCAAATATTAATTATTTGCGCATTATTTAAAATACCGTACTTATATGACATGCCTTCTCCGAAAATACAAAGTTATATCGCAAAACAATGCATTTTGTGACATTTATTTTGCACTCATGAAAATATTAATTTATTTTTCTAACTCAAGTCGACAATCCTATTTGCCAAGATTGACACAAGTTTGGTCGAGTGCCGGTGGTATTCAGGTCGACGATAAATCAAAATAAGTTGCCGCATTTGGTAAAGACAGGTAATCATATTTGGCCGACATATTGCGATTTGCGAGGCATTGTGAAAAACATATTGAGCAATGCCATGTCCGGACAGATATATAACGATAAAACCGGTAACAGAACATCAAATTTTGTAATAGAAAATGGATTTCGCGCAGAATAAACACGGGAAATCCCGTCGTAATGTTGTTTCTCTGCCGTCTCAATCGCTTTACCGATGCCGAAAGGACTAAGTTGCGTTGGTTCATTACGCAATTTCTCTTCCGTCTCTTGCTGTTTGATAAGCGCGACATTAATTATCACGACATTTACAAATAGACCATGTTTTATAAGTTGATCTCTTACATTCTTCACTCATTTCACCCGAAGAAGTTGAAACCAGGTGTGTTGGCGTCCATCGGTCTCGACACAATTCTATTCCTTATTTACGGTTAATATGTACATTGGCCATCTTAGATAAGTTGATAATAGGTTAGTAAATGACGCGTTATGCCCTCCCCATCTGCCTAACAAGAGAGAGAAAAACGGCTGCGAATACCGGAACTCTAACTTCTTTTACGGTACTTAAACTTTAATTTTTTACAATCGACGGAATTGACTGCTCTGAAGAGAGCTCGTTTCAATCGCGAAAGCGCTCGACCAATAATTACGACTTTACGTAATTCGTGACTTCGCTTGCGTAATTCGAAATAATTCCGTAATTCCGTAAATTTGTAAATTACGTGCAAGCCTATTCCTAACCCTCACTTGACTATGCCATCCAAAAATTACGTCACTACGATGTCACCATCACGTCATAGGGATTGCCAAAGTATAATTACGATCGCCCGAAATGGCATCTGCGCCGCCGATAAGAACTTGCTAAAGCCTGCGATCTCTCTCCTATCGTGATCGTTGCGACGAGAAAACGAGAGAAATAGCTTGCTCGATTTCGGGTTATCGTCTGCGCATTTTGGAGGACTATCCGCATACTTCGGTGAGCCTTATTACGCCACTGTGACGTCGGAATGACGTAATTTTTCGGTGACGTATTCAGGTGGGGGTTAGGATTGACATATGCAAAAATTGTTGAGCCAGGCCAACTAGAAGTGGATGTGGTACTAAACTATACCAGACCCCAAATTTGATTATACAATTAACCAAATTGATTTGTTGATTGCTACCTTCTCCTAACTTCCTGGTAAAGTTAACCCAAATCATTTTACAGTAGACTGAACCTCGTACCTGTTAGAATCAGGATTACTCAGGAAATTCAAATAATCCATCGAATGAAAGGCAGCCAGATCTTGGATTGATGCTTTCTTTGGTGTAACAGTCATCATATTGTCCAGTAATCCATATGCTTCAATGAGTGAATGAACCATGACATTACGATTTGTTGTCGGAATATACCTGTCAGACTCATTCACATAGTCCTTATGCCAGATGTAGGCGATTGGTTCTGGTTTTGCCATGTTAGATTAAATTTATAAATATAACATCTGTGAAAAGAGAAAAGAATAAAATGTGAAACAATCCAATGCAATTACTTTTGTATGGAGGTAATGGAGACATAGAATATCACATTTCATGGTTCTATTCTAGGGTTTTCTCAAAATGGGCCATCCGCTGCCCTAATGGGCCACAAGAGAAGGTCAAATACTGACTACATTTAATATTAAGTAAATTGGTACTCCCGTAGTATGTGTACTAGGTTAGGAGTTCAGGGACTGTCTGTGTTAGCCAAGTGAATATACCCCCCTGCCTATAGGTTTTAGTACCTTTACACAATTGATGTAAAGTAGGCGAATATACCAGTATGTGCAAAAATTATTATTACCGTAGGTCCCTTGAATAGCAAAGCTAGAACTGATTATGTGAACCACCATTTGCAGAGTAATATCATAAGTCATAACGAATTCAAATTCATGCAGTATCGCCGATCCTGTGTCATACTATCTAAAATTACACTGTCTGAATTCAACTTCGCGCAAAGATTTACGTACGAATATACTTTGTTCAAAATATAATGACCAACTTTGTTTTCATTTCAAACCCTGCATCACTTTTCACGCATCCTGTTCGCGCGCATTCCTTTTCCTCCCACACCACGCCCCGTCTACGCGACAAGCGGTGCTTAATTGGCTGTAACTGTATCACGTGATTGATCTGAGATTTGCATCAAACACTCCGGAAGCACACCTTACTTCTCCCGCTTACTGATAGATAGTTTATTTCGAAAACTCCATAACAAACCTAAATTTAAAATGGAGAATTCTGGAGGGCAAGCAAAACCTGCAAAAAAGTTTAAAACATGAAGTATCTCATGTGCCTGCCCACCAGCACGCACACTGCGTTATCGTTCTTACACCTTACCGCGAATGATGCAAAACAACGACTACGGAATAACAATTCCATTTGATTTATAATTTTAAGGAGGACAAGCAAAACGAACTCAAGCCTACCTGTATCCGAATACGGGCAAACAAATTGCAGCAGTGGTCTCGTTCAGGGTTACCCCACAGGCGGACCTTTCGAGTGCCAAATTTGGACCGCAGCTGTAAGACTTAATTATATATATATATTTTTACGGAGGGGGGGGGGGAGCGAATATTTTACGATTTGTCATGCCCTCCCGTACACAACTGGAGCCTTGTCATATCGGCACCGAAGCGCGATATTGAGCATTGCTCTTGTGCTTTGTCGATGTATTTGAAATTTCGTTTGCATAGTTTAAATATATTCTTGGAATGACCGGACACCGGTCATACTTAAATTGTGTGCAGACCTTTGACGAAAAGAGTTGAGTAGCTTTGTTCTAGTTCACCCAGGTATGCAGCGGCCATAAAATAGTCACACGCAATTGCTACATCCCTCATACATTTCATTACGAGTCCGCAGATGATGAATTTCTTAAATGGCGATCGCGGTTACATCGCTATTTCTAACTTTTACGTTAGGTTGTATTTGTGTGAATGATCAACGTATATCTTACATCTCACTGTATAAATTTAAAAGGCATCAGCCGAATTTTTGTAACTACAATCTCGATAAAACTGATCTTGACTATCGCAACATTTTATTGACACTAGACTTTAAAATCGAAAGTAACAACGAAAAATTAAAATTCTCTCGAAGCCCAAATTTCCCCGTGTTCGTCCGATGGTATGGTACGTAGAATCCAAACTTTATCCATCAAATTATTCCTTGGTAAACCAGTACATACACCAGATATCGATCGATAAATAGGCATTGCATTCATAATAGACGAAAATATCAAGTACCAGTGTTGCAGAATATGTTACAAATAACCCAGGTACCGTTTTTATGGGGTCGGTCACCCTATGATTACAATGATTAACGAAAAAAATTGTATAAATCCAACATTACATATATATTGTTGACAGATGGTTTTTTGTTCATATATCGTAATATGTTACGTTTATTTCGACTAAACAAATTAAATGTCTCTCAACAAGTTTATTACGTGGTTAGTTTTAAAATTGCCATCGAAATTGTTAGGCCTTGAAAATCTTTTCTATTTGGGGCTTAATTATAGAACTTTGCCGGTCACTGACCTTTATATATCAAAACCCACCAGTGCCTCATATCTGAAGGCGCTCGTTAAATACCTCGACGTCCTGTCGAGGTACTGCGCAGACCCTCGTGGTCGTTAATTATCTTGCTAAAGGATGATAAAAGGCGAGAGCAATAATGCACTTCTCATAATTAGCCCCGAACTTGCAAAGGGTAAAATAGCTGGTTAGATATTTACATACTCGCCGAGGTAACCGAAGGTAAGACGAGTTTTGTCGCACGATTACTTTGCCTTTCTCTTGGATGAATCCAGTATAACCCAAGCGCTTTGATTATATGTAAATGTGACTTTTTCGCTAAAGACTACATTTATCATGTTATAAACTTTCCGAAGGTGTTGCTCGCTTTCCAGAATTCTTCATTATTAAATTTTGTGTACTATAAAATTAAAAAAAAATCTATCCTAGCCGAGACCCTGCTTTTCGAAAGTATTGATAAAACGAATGTACGTACGTATGTTACGTACTGTGTATATCCCCGTTACATATGTGTGCTACAAGCAATTTGTCTCAGCAGTCCTGGCCGTCTGTGGATTCCTTCGCTCACAAGAGAGAATTTAGTCTGTACTATTGCAGTCTTAATCATTATAATATAGCAGTCCAATATGCTATACACGGGAAGGCCCACGAAACGCTGACTCGGACCATAGAGTTACAACAATCCACAAACCTAATTAGTATTCCCTTCCTGTTTAGTAGCCATCTCCGCCCACAGCCAACGCGAATGCATGCATTTTATAATATAAGTAAAAACAACGCACACATGAAGTATAAATTGTGCACGATCGGGTGTTGAAAGACCATTTGAGATACGATAAAAATTAGGAAATCGCTAAAATCCAAGTTTCAAGCAAGTCTCACTCTACCAGTTATTAATTTTGGCAATTCCCTAATAACAATCATTTATCGTATTTTCACATACGTACGTAGACGAAGTCTTTGACAGATCTTCCATGGTTTCCGAGGGACCCATCGAACTTTTACGCAAATGATGCCATGAAAGCGCAATTTATACGCTTAAAAACGAAAAAAGTTTTCGATAGCATGAGGACACAGTAACCTATTTCTAGATTCATGACTGGCCATAAAACGTTCATTTTTAATTATAAAAAGTATAAAATTTGCCTGTTACCCTTCCATGGTACGTTTTCAAACTAGCGTCATCAAAATAGCCACGAATTTCATACATTTTCGAAAGTTCCATTACATTCGAACCCACGACAATTGCACCTGCATACTATTGCACGTTTGGAAATTTTTTTTGTTTTACGGATATTTGAATCCATACTAACCCTAACCCATGGTTTTTAGCACCGCATGTAGATTGAACCCGCGGATATACACATGGGTTTAAATGTACGGTCACCATTTTCGAATGATTCCTATCGGAAACTATCGCCAAGAGCCAGATTCTCATGAAACACTATTTTGAACATTCAAAATTTACAGATCAAGCAAATATTTCCTACCAAAACGTAAAGAGCATTTATTCTACCAAGCATTCTTAACAGTCTGTCAAAGAAGGCATGCGTACGCCTAGTTTCTCGTTATCAAAATTTCGTTTCCTCAGGTTTGAACCCAGAGTCACATTTTCCTCAACAGGGAGTAACCTGTGAATTTTCGCAGTCCTGGTAGAAAACTCCTCAACTTATGAGTTCTTTTCACACTTGAAAATCAATTTTAATTAAAAGTTGAAACATAAACAAACTCGTCCCGTGGCTTCTTTTTTATGCTTTTCAACGAAGATCACATTTCGAAACTGAATGCGACAGATCCCAAGGACTATTTTAATTGTGCAATACTTGATTAAAATCTAACAATAGACTCAACTGCGTGTAGGTACATAAACAAAAATTAAAAAGACGCGGAAAATACACCAACGAACAGGCGAAAATACTCACTGCTTCTCATGTGCGACCTCAGTCAAGACACATGCTGAACTCAATCCAATCCTGTGCAGGGTTTCATTACATTTGAACCCACGACAATTGCACCAGCGTACTATTGCACCTATGAAAATATTTTTTTGCGGATATTTGAACTCATACTAACCCTAACCCGTGGATTTTATCACCATCATATAAATTGAACCCGCGGATATACGGGCGCAAATATATGTGTTCAAATGTACCGTCACCAGCCACTGTGCAGCCCAAACCAAAGTAAAAAATCACTTTCAATATGCGAATATATTTCGACTTTATACAGTTAGCAGCATCCGTTGATAAAGTCGGAGAGATGAATAGTGAAAAAATGTGTATCAAGAATATCCTTATATATATCTTCAAGCAGTTGCAACTTAACGCATGGCATGGACTGACATTAGTTACCTTAATTAAATCTCACCGATGGCCAGATAAGATATACCGACAGAATAATGATATATGCGGCCAATTAGCGATAACCTGTAAATATCTGACCTACAACATGCCAAATCAAACCAAATGTCAATACAAGCGGACATCCCTCTTGACAAGAAACATGCGATATAGGTCCCGGCTACTGAACTCCTTTGCCAGACTAACCAATTGTCATGGATGCGCACCGCAGAGGATGGGCTGGCCTGTTCCGTTTCATACAATAGGTCCGTCTAATCTCCCTACCGATTACATCAACTTTTAATTTTCGGATACATGCCGACATAATCTGACTAACAATTCCAACACTTAAAGAGTTCGTGACGTGTAGCACCGGCCAGCGTAAATAGTCGATAGGATACATAAGTCTTCGAAATTGTATAACAACGTTTTATCTACCACAAGCACGTAAAACAATGGGTTCCATTGTGTATATTGGCCGACGTAGGAAAATTCGCAGTGATACCTGCCTGACTAAGGTCAATCTTCAGATGGATTTAACCGTACACGCGGTATTGTGATATTACGTACTGGGCATGCTGGTCAGTTTTTATCGTGGTCACGCT